CCGAGCGAGTTGGGGTTTTGACTACTCAACTGTCTGGACCAAGAGCTGGTCAAATGATTTAGCCAATCAAGGCCCAGACTATATGGGCCTATCAAGAATCAGTGGGCTACTATGCATTTATTCGGGCTGAAACAGGATAGAGTCTAATTGGACCTCTAATTAGTCTAAACGATGTTCATCTAATTGGGCTACATTTTAGGCTTCCAATTGGGTTATATAACAATTTATGAATGTATTAAATATTGTACTATATACACTTCCTCACCTTCATATGGGAAAAGTGTGTGTTTTTTTCCAAAAGTAGGAATAAATAAATAATAGTAGGCTATGTTTATTTGGACGTAAAATCTATATTTTTTATTTTTTGGAGTTTGGTTGCCGTAATATATTTACGAAGAAAAAATATTAAAATTTAATAAAAATAAATTATCCATCAATTTTCGACAAGTTATTTTATATGTCCCGCCCGATGAACTCTACCTCGACCTCTACCTCGACGTAAACTTTTGCCAAATACCGATAAAGTAAAACTAAAATAATATTTTACCTTATATATATATATATATATATATATATATATATATATATATTCAAAAAAGAATATTTTAAACAAACAGAGAATGTAAAATGGTTTGAATTTGAAGAATGGTATTGTTCCTAATAGCATCTACTTGATTGAATTTTGATTCAATGAAAATAAAGCGTAGAGCTGAAATAATTCACTCAAGTCCTTTTTAAAGGATTACGTGATACGATTTAATCAAATAAGTCATTCTGAAATGAATATATTCGGCCGCTTGTGAAGCTAATTAAGTGATGCAAAAGATTGTTTAGTACTAAAACAGAACTATCCTATTAGACTCCATGAGCTGCACAGACGGTATGTGCAATAATAATTTGATTTGGCAGCATTGGATAATTAAGATAAGTAGATCAGGACATTCAAAGATTAGGGCAGTACACAAAACTAAATAGATATTTAGACTCCATTTGTTTGGATGTAAAATATTTTTCAATTTTATTTTATTTTTTTGTATTTTAGTATTTGTAAAACATTTACGAAGAAAAAAAAATTAAAACGTAACAAAAATAACTTATCCATCAACTATGGACAAGTTATTTTGCACAATCCACCTGATAGACTCGACCTCAATCTTGATTTAGATCTTTGCCAAATACTGAAAAAGAAAAAATAAAATTTTTACCTAAAAAAAGGAAAATATTTTATGTAAATTGATAGCTTTCAGGGAAGAAATTACTCATGCATGAATATGACAACTTGGGGGTTGTTTTCTCAGCCGTTTGTTGTTTTCCCCATATATTCAGGGAAGGATTCTTACCTTAATGGTAGAAATTGTGATTCAAGATTGCATAAAAAGCTTCACAATACAATTGACAAATTGAATTGTGTTTAGTTAATTTCATTATTGTTTATTTTATCTATATTTTTTGTTACACCATAGTGTTCCATTATTATTATTTTAAAATCAAAACTCATATGGATGCATAGAAAAATGCACAAATAACATACATTTGGTAAATCAAGTCTACAAATCAATGGAGATTCATAATTGAGTATGGAGACATTTGATCCTGGATTATTGCTTCAGCCAACTCACATGCTAACTGTGCAGGTTTCATTAAAAGCGTACAGGCTCTAGCACATATTGAAGTAGAAGAAGAACTTAGTTGGGAATTTAAAGAAAATGTTGAAGTAAAGGAAGAGCTAGCTGCTCTGTTTTATGTCTACTAATTGTGATATAATTATTTTTGTTTTAATTTCAGTTCCATGTAAACTCATGTTGGTTGTGTAATTCTTGGTTTTGCTTTACAAAGAGCCCAAGGGGAAGATAGATTTATCTGCACATTCTATGCAGTTGTAGAACTCAACGTAAATGATTGTGCCACTAAAAGTACAAGAGAACACTTGTGTTGTGTATGTGTGTTGTTTTTGTTTTCTTAAATAAATGTAATGATTTTTGAGAATTTTTTGTTCTTTTAAAATTGTTACGTAATTTTGACAATCAAATCGGTTTTTGAATTTTTGTTCTGTAGAAATTGTTTTGTAGTATTTTCAAACAGGTTTATTTTTACACTCAAAAAATTAAAAATTATTTAATTCTCTGAAAATTGTTCTCACAGTTACATTCAAAATAGCAAGATGGAATTTTCTAACACCTAGGTATCAAATTTCTACAAATAAAAATTTGAGATTCTCAAAAGTCAACAAAAATTAATTGATAAAATGGTTAGATTTCAAGAAGAATAGTGTTGTACAATCTTAGTTTTCAGTTCAATGGCAGGAAAATTAGAAATTTTAATTTTTTTCGTAATTAATTTGCTAAGATTTATTTTTGAAACATAAGAACAAAGAAGTGAGTGTTTTTTTTTAATAATAAATAATGAGCATGTTGTATAAATTAAAGTAGGCTTCAGCATAGGCTGAAGAAACAGGCCATAGGCCCATGTGAACAAATGATAACAAAACATGGCCCAAAAAACAAAGGCACAAACCACCTACTGTTTCAGAATCGGATTTTAAAGTAGTTGTTCTCCAGAGTTTGATTGGGCCACTATTTGCGTTTTGCGACCTTTGTTTTCTTTGTGCCTATGGGCCGCTCCGACTAAAGTTGGGTTGTATTGCCCAATAAAAATATAAAAGAAAACCCTAATTTACCGAAGTAAATGAGAAAACAAAGAAAGGAAACCCTCCATTTATATCTGTATTATCTATAGATTTTTGTCAATATATACGAAGCTAAATTCCAACCCAATCTCCCAAAACCTGAAACTTTGTTGGCAAGTAATATCTCCTTTTCCATCTGAAACGTTTTTGGCAAGTAATATATATATATATATATGACCGCCACCTAGCCCAAGCACACCGGCCGCCTTATTCTTTCTATTCTCTCTCTCTTCCTTTTAGCAGTGAAAGTATTTTTCATGGACGCCAATAATCATTCTCTGCATCAGATTTTCTTTGAAGAACCGTATGAATGGACGTTGGAGAAACATATTATTCATCTTGGCCGTAAATCATTGTGGTCTGATTCGTTTGGCCTGACAGCATTAGTTACATACAACAATGGAATTCCCGGTGTGACAGAAAATAAGTACCCGATTTCAACAACGGTGTTGTCGTCCGATGAAACAGCACGCTCGTGCTTCTCTCAATTCCTCTCTACGGTCGGAATCACCTCCATCAGTGACGGTCTATTCCGTGAAATTCTCTGTTTTTGTCATGGCTTGACTGCAGACACAAATTCAACAACTAGCGTACCCTTTCTTGTCATGACGATTTCTCAGAGAAGGCCAGAAACTTGGGCATTAAGGAGGACTGTGACAGATTCCATGGAAGACGATGGGTTAAAGACGGCACCAGCAAGTAAATCATCCATTGAGGCATTATTGAAAGTGATTGTACTCGAGGGATCCATGGATCAATGTATGATCTGTTTGGACAAGTTTCGGTTTGGGTCGGAAGTGTTAACTTGCATGCCATGCTCTCATTATTTTCATGGACACTGCATTGTTCACTGGTTAGGGACGAGTCATTTTTGTCCGATTTGTCGCTTCAAGATGCCAACAGAATAATTAATTTACATTGGCGGTGCTTGGACTGATCGATTGTTGTAAAGTTGAATGCATCAATTGTAATTACAATATTGGGTATTTTGCAGTGAATGTATTGGCAATTTGTTCTATCAATATATATAATATGTTGTTAATTTTCTGGTTATGATTTACGATTCAGTGGTGTATAGCAAGAAGGAATTAATTTCAATTTATATTAAATCACGAAAAAGAAAAAAGGACTAATAACAAAATTATCTATTTTAAGAGTTCATTTTTTACTAAAATAATTAGAGACGAATTGGATGATATTGCATCAAATAGGGCCAAATTCCACTTCAAGAACAGTGTTGAAGATAAACCATCAGAGACTAGTGCCGGTAGGGAGGAGTTATAGGGAGAGATGAGGATAAGAATGCATCAAGGACACCGAAATTGGAAACACAGAGTGTTTCTCTCATTCCAATAAGGACAGTAGGAAGCCTAGCTAGCTATTTTACTTGAAAGACACTGAAATTGAGTGGTCATTTGTAAAATGGTTTGAATCTGAAGAATGGTGTTGTTCCATATGAGCTCTTGAAACCATTCTCAGAGCATGGGGTCACAAGAAAGGGACCTCCTAATAGCATCTCCAAATAAAATAATTGAACTTAATGCTCTCTACTTGATTGAATTTTGATTCAATGAAAATAAAGCGTAGAGCTGAAATAATTCACTCGGAATCCTTTTTAAAGCATTACGTGGTATGATTAAATCGAATAAGTCCTGAAATAATTATATTCGGCCGCTTGTAAGCCTAATTAAGTGGTGCAAAGATTGTTTAGTTCTAAAACAGAACTATCCTATTAGACTCAATGAGCTTCACCAGATGGTATGTGTAAACATAATTTGATTTGGCAGCATTGGTTAATTAAAATAAGTGGATCACGACATTTAAAGAAGAGTGCAATGCACAAAACATGATGGACATTTAGGCTTCGTTTATTTGGATGTAAAAATATATTTCAAAATTTTTTTATTTTTTGGTATTTGGTTGTTGTAAAACATTTACGATGAAAAATAATAATAATAATTAAAACCTAACAAAAATAACTTACTCATTAACTTTTCACAAATTATTTTACACAACTCACTTGATGGACTCGACCTCAATCTCGATTTAGATCTTTGTCAAACACAGAAAAAGAAAAAATAAAAATTTTACCTGAAAAATTAAAACATTTTCTTAGAAAAATATTTTCCTTCAACTTTCACGTCATGTTGTGTACCGGGGGTATGTAAACTGATAGCTTTCAGGGAAGGAATTACTCATGCACGAATATGACAACAATGTTGTGACAGACTGGAGGTTTGGACTCTTTGGAATGGCAAACATAAAGATTTGAAGTATATTTATCCATATTTGAGAAATTGAAGAAGAAAGAAAGTGGACAATATGTAATAATCTCAATAGATAAACTTCTCTACAAAAATATATACATTTATTCGAGTGTGGTATATAGATGCATTACAAAAGAATGAAATGAATAAAAAAAATCTACAACTCCTAAAATATATTGCTTTCCCTCAGCCTCCCATTCTATCTTTCTAAAGAATCAAAAAATGAAGCCATATCAAGTACCGTATTGTTATACAAAACCATCCATCTCCCTCACATGCACTCTCAAAGCAAGTGGCTAAAGGTGTATGAAAAAGCATCAACGAGCCTTTCAGTGTACTGACCGAAAGTGACTGCCACCAGAAACAATGTTTCCAAATGGTGCTTTGAAGAAGCCACATTGTGCCCCAAACTCGCAGGTTTTAAAGGGCTCCGGTTCAAGGACTTTCGATTGGCTCCAACATGTCACCCTAGTGAATCTCTCATTTCATGAAGCTTGCAGGATTCAACTACAATAGAGAATGTCTACGGGAATCATTACACATACACTCGGGGATGGGAAACTTCGTGACATCTCTTCCAGCTTTGCTAGTCCTGAGTTCTGGCTGCCCTAAAGAGTCAAGGTGCAAGTCCATTATTATACTATTGAACTCTGCTTCAGGGAGAGAGGAGTTTAGAAAATATGGGAGCATGTGTCTTTTGTTTGGCGTAATATATTTCTTGTGCCCTGCGTAGGCCCTATGTCCCTGCACCAAATACAAAATTATAGTTATTATCCGAATGCCTCAGTTCTATTAAAACTCCATCTAATTGATCAGAAGATAAATAAAAGAGATGAATTATATAAATGTAGTGAAATCCTATAGTTTAATAACAGGGTTGTGTTGTTTATGGTCAAAGAACACAGTCACTCACTCACTCATTTATGTTCTTTACTTAAATTTGAAATCTCCAGGGATCTTGTAACACAATTGCACCCCTTCAACTCATAAAATCCATTTGATTAGGTCAGATAAGCCGGGGAAGTATTTTGGGGTGATTTCCATTCTTGGGAATAATTTCATCAACTAGAATATACGAAACAATAGAGATAATGGAAATTTGTAATGATGATAGTGATGGTGGCAATACCTGAATTGCGTGACCCATATTTCCACCATGAGATGGCATAAACACGTCACTGTTCTCGGAAACTATATAATCAATGGCAGCCATAAACGAGGCTTTCTTTGCAAATGGCTCAAGCTCCCCGGGCAAGGCCAGGTCTTCCTTGTTGTAGAAATGAGGAAATTCTTTAGTTAAGGGTAGCAAGGTTTCTGTCCCACCAAATGGATTCCCTCCAGCCCAGTATATTCTCGCACTCTTTGGAGCTCCTAGAGCTTTAAGCAACCTAGAACATATAACAAAAATAATCTCATTCAGCTACAACAAATTTAGAAATAACTTAAAAAATCAATGTAAAATGGAGAAAATTTAATCGGATAGCTTTAAAACTCACCGTGTAACCTCCAAGGGAGTTAAGGGGCAGAGACCTGCAAGCTTTCTATCATGGTAACTCATGTTTGATCTCGAAGTTAAGAGTTCTGGCCGTAATTTTCTCTCGTTGTTAATTATCTCATCATACTCATGACTCAAACCAGGAAGACAACCTGTCCTCACCCATACATCCTTCTCCATTCTGAGATGAAGAGCAAGATAAGGTCCCTTGCTATGCATCCTCTCTGTGAGCTTGTTACCAAGTTCTAGGATTTGAGGGGCAAACTTCAGCGCATGAAATGCCACCTAAATTCAGAGAAAGTAGATTAAAAGCAGCAATGTTTGGGATTAACCGCTAAATTAGGAGTTAAATGGCAATTCAGTCAAGCACACAAGTAAGATCCTCAAGTTTCATCACTTTGAATCATATTGGATATTCCACTTATAAGGTCAAAACTTTTAGTTGCAAAATTCATGCATTGGCTCCTTATTTTCTCGACTTTGTAAGTTTGACTTGTCCAATTAGAAATACAAAAATAACACAAATCAAGTATCAGAAAGATGAGAACCAAAAATACCTTGCATCGAAGCTTTTGAAGATCAGAAGGGAGATCCTTTGAGAGCCTTGAATCCAGACCTCGTAAGAGCAAAACACCATCTCTCCTGAGCTGCAGAAACCAACAGAATCGCATCATTTTTATGTGGATAACTTTTAAACTAATAAAGCAAAATGGTGAAAACAAATAGATAAAATAAAAATGGGATAAAAGTCCATCAATTGAAATAGAAAAGCCTCTGATACAGTAAATAAAAGTCATAGATTAAAACAAGGCATATAAATCCAACAATTTATACAGCCTGTTAATATAAAGTTCTGGCCAATGATCCAAATAGACGGCTCATAAATTGATAGGCCACAAAAGTTAAACCTGTTTTGACAATTCAAACTTCTGTTCTCTCTCCATACCATTGCAGTTTAAAATTAAATAAATTGTTGGCATTTCCAAAGGTTGAACCAGTCTCACACTTCCACAACTACCATAATTGATAAACAAACAAGACTTGCAAAACTTAAAAACACCCAACCAACTAGCATTAATATTACTAACATGGTTTTCTTTTTCCCTTCATATCACTGTTAATGAATTGTGGACCCTGATGGTCCAGCAAATGCTAAATGCTAACATGGTTTTCTTTTTCTCTCCCACATTTTTATCATCATCATCCTTAAAGTCCCATTTGAATGGGGTCGGCTTCTCTCCCACATTTTAGACTAACTAATTACCAAAATCAATCTTTTTAAGTAACGAAAAGCAAAGAAGAAGGCCAATAAGTAAATTTCAAAGCACAAAAAGCGCAATGCTTCTTACCCGTCTGAGGTACCGAGCTCGAATCCATTGAGGCGAGACATGAAGTGGCGTTCGCTTCTCCTCCACAGGTCTTGACATCAAATGTGTTGAGGGAAGCGAGGAAACTATCCGTACGTCGTTGGCAAGAACTCTCTTGAAGTGTTCCATATCAAATATATCAGAAAATTCACTGCACCCATCATAGAACACACACAATAACAAATTAGTCATCTCCTCAGCCAGACAATCAGTGCAACATTCCCTAAGAAACAAAATAAATTCAATGGAAAACTCAACTATAAATCAAATAGGCATCATCTATGAAATCAAAACAACATCAAATTAGGAACTAGTCCCAAAATATATATGGAATCAGCTATAATTACAAGATGGTATGCTAAATTGAATAAATATATAAATAAAAATAAAAAGAATAAAAAAGAAGAACAAGAAGAAGATCTTAACTTATATACTAAAATAAATAAAAATCTAAAATGGGTGTAGGTCAAATTGAATAAAAATGATATAGATTCAAAATATGGACCCCTCAAAGGATTGTAATGCCAAATAAATACAATGGGTATCTGCTATGTAAATCAAATGTGATAAAATAAGGAACTATTCCAAATATATAAATGGAATCAGCTATAATACAAGATAATATGCTAAATTTAAAATAAAACTCTAAAAAGGGTGTTTCTCAAATTGAATCAAAATGGTATAGATTCAAAATAAATACAATGGGTATTTGCTGTATAAATCAAAATGTGACAAAATAAGGAATTGGGGCAAAAAAAGAGAGTACCTTTCATCGCCCCAAATGACATTGACTTGCAAGATTGGAACAACCAAAGCAGCCCCAAGAATTCTGGCAATCACGACAGCATCAACTATCTGATTCCTCTGCTGATTCATACCACCAGAGACCACCACCATCAGATACTTTGTCCTGTCCTTCACAATATCACCACTCCATCTTCTATACTCATTGCTGAAATCCAAACAGGGTCTATAACCCAACCCATCAGGTTGTTTCCAAAACCCACTCTGTACTTCGTCTCTCTCCACATCCCCACCATTTTTCTCGCTTAAAGACACAGTATTGAGCTGCGAATCCGAATACCCATTTGAGATTGAGGCCCCTTGTTGAGGAATCGAGCATGGGTTTTGCGAGAATGGAATCAGGGGATCTAGATTGAGACCCATCTTGAAGAACATTCCGACGAAACCAAAGAGAAAGAGAAAGAAGAACCAGAATCTTGGGTTCTTCAAAAGCTTCGCCTTCGAGATCTTTGAAGATTTTTTAGGAGAGAGAAGGAGAGATTGAAGCGAAGATGATGAGAGAGAGTTGATTATCTGAGAGGGAACTGAAATGTAACATTGCTTCTTCGACTTTGCCATTTCGCACACAGAGAGAGCTTAAGGGAGAGAGAGGCTCTGTTGGTGATGAAATTGTGAGGTTCTACAGCTTTCTTGAAAAGCTTTTTAGAGAGAGAGAGTAAAATGGTGCGGGCGGCGGGAACGCGAAATCGGACTACTCCGCGTTTGGTATTAAAAAGAGGCGCAGTCAGTCAGCAGAGGCGTGTCAGGGGGGTTTCGAGGCTACGAATATATATACACACTGTCACACACCCACATATATAATCATAACGCTTTTATTTTTAAATTTAAGATTAATCAATTATTCGTTACTTGACATTTGACCATTAAGCCCCTAGCATTCCTTTAAAAAAAATTTAAAAAAAAATTGTAATTATTTATTCACATTTAAAAACTTAAATACGGTGTAAATGAAAATAACAGATAATTTACAGGAGAAAGAGAGAGATAATAGCTAAATCAAAATAGGTCATTGTTTGGTGTGATAGCAAGTGTTCAAATAATACAAGGAAATTGAGTTTGAGAAATATTGCTTTATAAAAAAAATTATTAACCCATTTTCCTTTTCATTTATTTGTTTTTTCACTTCTAAAAACAACTATTATCTGAAAACCGAAAACTGAACTAATCATGTCAAATTTCTATACAAACTTTTAACTTTCAATTTTTTGAAAACATAAAATTATTCTTTGAAAAACAAATTAAAAAAAAAAATTCCGAAATTTGAACTTCCAAACAAAGGAGTACGCTCCCCTTTCAGACTTATGTTTCTCTACATTTGTCACAAATTCGACCCAAACATGGTACAAATTCATCCCACTACAATTTCAGGTTCTTTATTTATTCTTTTACCTGTACTTCTTCACCCGTTATGAATGACAAGAGGCTTTTGTTTTTATTTCTTAATTTCATGTACATATAATTTGTGATCGATTCCGTTGCACTCTAGCTGTTGCAAATTTCGAAGTGGCACTTCATTGCAATTATGTGGAAGTAAATGACTACAGACCACAAGCCATATACTACTATTTAGCTAGACCTGAGTTAATTTTGAGGTCCATGTACAACTAAGACATGCCTAACTCCATAGTCCTAAAGGTCCATCAGGGCAATTGTCTCTATCAAGAAATTTTTAAAGGGCCGGCAATACATGGTCCGGACTAATTACAATTTAAAATTTAGTTAACATATTGTGATTAATTAAAATCATATAATTCAGAATTATATAATAAATTTTTGTCTCAATCTTCAAAAATCTCATAACAATACATTTTTTTATGTAAACATTTTGATCAATAAATCATTTATTACATAGGTTATATATAGTCAATAAAATTTTATTTATAAAAAATAAGCTGCCTTGTTTATTATCCACCGTTACAATGTCTTTGTACTCAAAAAATCTGAATCACTCCATTAATATTTATTATACAAAAAATGAAGTGTGATTTTTTTTTTTTTTTTTTTTTTTTTTTTTTTTTTTTTTTTGGAACCTCACTATCACACCATTTTTTAGCATAATATTTTACCATTGAGTTGTTATTTCAATATCTAAGTCTTCTAAGAATATTTTAGATAGTGGTCTATTATTGTTGTTGTTGTTGTTCAATAACAGAGTGTATCTCATCCAACAATAATTGCTTTAAACACTTGTTTTTTTAAAATAGTCAACATAAAGAGGGCAAAAAAAATATTTATGTACTTAACTTTTGAGAAGCAATTTTTTCATTTTGTTTATTAAAAAGTTTAAGTAGAGTGCAAGTGAAGAAGTAAAATTTTAATATAAGTTCGGTAAAAAATAGCTTTTACTTTTTTTCTTTGAACTCGAATGAAATAGTATATATACACACACATTGGTACATAAGTTTGCAAATAAAAATAAATAATAATGATAATAATAAAAGAAAAGAAAAAAAGAAAGCAAAGTGATATTTACATTCATCAAAAGTAATTTCACAATTTGTTTAAAACAAGAAAAAATATCACTTGAAATAATCTCTTAATTCAAGTATAAATATATATATTTTTTATTAGTAAGAAAAACACTCACTACACCCACTTGCTTCCTGCGATGACTTGAACCCTTCTACTTTGAAAGGAGCATCAGTTATTGCGAGACGTTAGGTGAGGCTAACATTCGGTCCATATATACTAGCCTCCTTGTGGGGCAAATACGGACTCCTTTGAACCAGAGGCTTGGCATAACACTGGGTCTAGCTCTGATACCAACTATAACAAGCTAGGTGCTTCAAAATCCGACCTAAAAACTTAAGTTGGTGATAAGTGCTAAATATTGTACATTCGAATCCTTAAAAATTACATATTATAGTTTTTTTGTAATACTTATGTATTAGTACTTACACCATTTTCTTTGTTTCAAGTATTTTTAGGTGTTTACCTTCAAAATTGGTCAATTTTATCTATTTTGGGCATTTGAGGATGTTTTCAATGATCGAGGAGAGTACTGACTTGCTTGGGATCAAGTTAGAATTCAAATGACCAATGATATGAAATGGGGGTTCGAACCACCACTTAAAGCAGAAGATTATGCAAATTTTGCTTTTATGGTTCGAACCACTTAAGTGAGCGTTTGACCTAGTAGGGTTAATATTCAACCCAAATATACCCATTTACTTCCTTATCCGGATTTGACGTGGGATGAGTCTTCATTGTAAAATAAGACCATATCCTAATAAAGACTTAAACTCTTTGCTTTTTACCTTAGAGGCAAGAAAACTTAGTTCAGCTTTTGGGATAAGGATATTTATTTCGAAGTATGAGAATAATGTGTCTATAAACAAAACAAATAAATAAATATTAAGATAATACTTGCCTAGATATGGCCCAATCACAAATGCGTCTTTAATTTTAAAATATGAAAGTAATAAATAAGAAAATTAATTTTTTTTTTTACTAATAAATCAAAGATGAAATGTATAATTGTGGTTGGACCATTGATGAGTAGACAAATAATGTCATGAAAATAATGTAATATTGTTCTAAAAATGGGATTATTTTTTCCACTGATAGTAATATTAAATCATTAATAAAAAAGTTTCTAAGAATTATATTTACATATATATATATAAATATATATTAAAGTTTTAAAATGAAACAAGAGAAGAAAAGAATTATTGCAAGGTAGAGAGAAGTGGACGCACAGAAGTGTGTACATATCCATGGAGAAAGAGTGTCGTGTTGTGGTGTTGCCAGCTTGGCCCAATAAAAAATTAAAGAAAAAGGGAATCATGTAACCTGCCACCATCCCACTACTCATACCCGACAGCCTGGGTTTTATTGTTTTTCACATAGTTGTGTGTTGAAAACTGTGTGTTATTGCTACTGGAATCTCAAATCTGGATTGGCCGCAGCGCTTGCTATACAGGAGTATATATAATATACGGAGTATATATATATATTTGTATAGGTATATGAATCTATTGCTCCCCAACTTCCAATAATTTTCCCACGCAAACAGAGGCATTTACCAGCTGGCTACAGCTTGTGCTCCACGCTGGCACACTGTCCAACGTGGCAGATAGCGACTTCTCAACAGCGTGCCACGTGGGTTTTTAAAGGAGTGGTATTGGTTGTGTGGAGTCCACGAAATTGCTTTGTCCCATGTGGTACCTTTTCAAATCCGGCCCGACTGCCAGGGCTAATGGGTCGCGACTTGTTTGGCCATACTTGGTGAAGGTGGCCTCTGGTACAATGTAGCTTAATGATTTTTTCGAACAATTCGAGCTCTATTTATTTTGACAATGATATTAACAGCTTTTTATTACAATTATGTCTATAGAACAAAATTATTACTACTATTATTTATTAAATTAATCATAAAATTAACAATTATACAAATGGTCACTATAATTGTCTACATTAATGAACAATCAATCCTTATTGATCATCATCAAAATGAGATCACAACTCAATTTATCAAAAGTTTACCAGTGTCATAAAATAATTTTTTCTTATTTTTAAAAAGAAAATACCATTACTAGTATAAATTTCCCATTGTACACATAGATTATTCATTTACTTTCTCTCATGCACAGAAAATGATAAACATCAACTTATAGAAACAAATTTTGTATTTTATATATAAAAATATATACTTTTTTGTTAAATTAGGGGGAGACAGAACTCAAACACGGGCACACCAAAACGGAGAGTTGAGATGTGTAATGCCCTATAAAAATAGATTATTTATCTAGTACTCGAAAAACTATATGGTCTATCAACTAGATAACCGGATAATCCCTTAGGAGCAAAGACGGAGCCATTTAAAAGCCAGTGGGGGCAATTGTCCCTACTGATTTGTTTTTTTAGTAATATATCTTGTTTATATACATTTTTTAAATATATATACCCATAAAATTACACTACCGCCCCTATTAAAATTATTAAAAAAATTACACCATCGCACCCTTCACATAATTTTCTGGCTTCATCTGAGTAGGGTTCATGACTTAAGTTACACAATCCTTCTGAACATAAGTCGCTCTTACGCTCTGAGCGCGCTCCCGCTCTTACGCTCTGAGCGCGCTCCCGCTCTTACGCTCCGCGCGCGCTCCCGCTCAAATTTTCACTACTTGCGAATTAATTCCGTTGTTCTTAGGCTTCCATTCTCAGATTCGCTCTCGCTCCCACGTGTACTTTATTTGAATAGGTTCATGACTCATTCCTGTGAGTTGTGAAAGAGAAATTATTTGCAATCATTTGGTGGTGATAGTTATGGTTGTGTAGGCAATCTATTGGGCTCTCATTGTGAAAATTATATTTTGAAAAAAAACTTTACGCTTGTCAACAAAATGTCTCTTTTTATGTTTTTTAAAGCCAAACCTTTAACCAACTAGTAATAATTAAGTACTAAACAAGAAGCAATTAGGCCAACAAAAGCACCCACAATTAAGTGGGACAAAAAAATGGCCAATTACGAGGGATAATGATTGTTCAGATGAATAATTGTTGGCACCGGTTGGTGGTGGATGGCGATAACATGCACCAGGAGGCGTATTTTGCACGCTATTTTCCGCGTCTGGTACAAGGCAGGCCTTGATCAGGCTAATGTGGGAACTAGCTTGAATAGTCAATTTTCTCATCATATGTCCATCTCATTTCAACCAAATAATGGCTCTCCAGTGGGACCCACCACACTACTATTCTATAATCTAGTGTGAGCGGCAACACTGTACCCCATAGAAAGGTCTGTCCATTGACTGTCTGAT